TGTGACTTCCAGAGGAAATAATGTTGCTACCACCAGTTGCGCTTGCTGTATCAGGTCTATTAAGATGCCACTCTAGTATGGCCATTCAAGAAGTGACATCAACTCTCCTTCTGCACTACTGTATAAAGTTTCCATTTCCAGAAGAACTTGCGAGCTGCAAATGCAAACTGCTTCCACCCACTTCAGCAGGCTGATACGTCCATAGGACTCTGTGATGCTGGAGGATTCAAAAGATGCTAGGGCTTTTAGTCAAACCCACAGGGTGAGAAGAAAGTCACGATTGCCCCACTGCATTCTCTCAGGTTTTTGAGTCAATGTCTATAGTTTTAATGGAAAGTTTTGAGAGGATTTTATCATGGAATTTGAGAAGAAACACACAGATGCTTGAAGAAAGTACTGATTTCAGCGTCACCTTTACAGACAGTTCTACAGCTTGAATGTGATACAGGTGCCATGCCTTTGGTCTTCGAAAACCATGAGCTAAATAGACTTTTCCATACTTTATAAGTAGCCTGTCTCAGGGACTGCTATAAACAGAAAGCCGCCCAATAAGCACGTTTTATGATAAGTTGCAAAGACATTCGTTATATGAATTACAAACTTTCTGGATGGTCAAGTATTCATAGATTCTGATAACACACAGGAACAAGTACATGTGCTGGCACATGTTTACACACACGCACACATGCATGCATATACACATGCGCACACTCGCGCACACACACACACACACACACACACGAAGCCAACCCTAAACTTCCGTGAGCCAGGCATGCAGACTGCAGAGAAATTGCAGACAGTGACTTGGGATAAGACTGGAGAGGTTAGATAAGCACTGGCTCTGTAATTTCAATTTATCAATGCATAGGTAACTCTGCTGAATAAGTTAGGAACAGAAAAAAGATGATAAAAATTTCCAATCGATTATTGAGCTGGTCTGAGAATACAGGCACAGGGCTAAGTCAGTGACAGTGTTTTCTGGGAAGGAAGATGATCACAGCACAGGCTGCCTGGGAGGAGGGTCAGCAGGACCTGATGGCTGAAGGGACATTGTGTGAAGATCAGAATGAGCTTCTTTCTTCTCGAGAGGGGGCTTCCCCACTGACTGCCAAGGAAATGTTGCCTGTCTGGTCAAGGATGGAATGAGAAGGTGGCTTTGGATGTGACCTCCAGAGGCAGAGCCACTATCTTCGCTTCTTTTACTGTTGTTCTGATGAAATTACCCTGACAAAAGCAAGTTAAGGAGAGAGGATTGATTCTGCCTCAGAGTGGGGGAACTGGGGCTGGAAATAGCTTGTCATACAGCACCCGCACTCTCGAGCAGAATGAATGCATGCCACTGCTCAGTGCACCTTCTCTAGTTTACATCCGCCTGCGTCCCCTGCCTAGCGGATGGTCTGACAGCTACAATGGCTTGTCTCACATCAATCATCCTCACGAAGAAAATCCCTTCCAGACGTGCACACCCCACCTGCCAGGTGATTCTGATGCTGGCAAGGAAGAGCTAAGCATTTCAAGACCGTGTATAAAGAGCAGGCATAGGAACGGCGGAGTCTCCTCCACCGACCCAGAGGAAGGCTTTCCCAGAGACAACAAAATACAGCGAGAACTACTTTCAGGTTTTCTGTCACACCTTCAAGAATGGATTTGTTTATTTTTAAAGCAACTTTTTTATTTTTTTTAAAAAAAACTGAGTTTTTAATATATTTTCATCTTATGTTGCCATGGAAAGAGAAAGACCAGAGTGGGGAGGATACTTGCCAACCATGTGGTCCTCTGCACATCTCAGTATACAGAACATTCTTTTACTCCACACTGAGAAACGCCAATAGACACCTCAGAGTTTTGGAAAAAGCAAGAAGCATTGCATTCTTTTGGACCACTGCAGCCACCATACCTGCCCTCTTCCGAGTCTCACCACCAGTTCCTAAGTCTATAGTCTCTTCCTTCCCTTTCATAAACACGTGGAATCATTCTAATGGCAAACTGGACAGTCCTATTTCTCTGGAACCTTCTCGTCCTGTTCTCTTCATTGCACAAATCGCCACAACCAACTTGTCAGCGGAACTAATCACTCCTTTGCTGTAGAGAGATCAACTGGTGTCAAGGTCACGGAGGTTTGACATTGGAGCCCTGGGTTTAATCACAAGGTTGCCCTTTGGTCTGAGGTTTAACCTCTTTGATCCCTGCTACAGCATGAATTGGATGTTTGATGCTCTCCATAGGCCTGCGTGTCAAAGGCCTGATTCCCAGGGGACAGCACTGGGCAGTGATCTGCCTGGTGAAGGCATTAGAGGAGTGACTTTCAGGGGACTGCAGGAAGCCACCCTCTTCTTCCTCTTGTGCTTCTTAGTCATAAGGGGCCCATATTGCTATGTCATGTGCTCCTCTTCATTACCAAATGTGCTCTCACCTAAAATAATGGGTCTGCCAATCACAGACCAGAACTGCCTAACTATGAGCCAAAGTAAACCTTTTCTCTGTATATTAATTACTCCAGGTATTTTACTATATTGTCGAGAAGGTAGTGAACACAGCCCTACCTCCCTCATCTACACACTAATATTCTTCGGTTTTCTTCTTCTTCTTCATTTTTTTTTGTTGTTGTTTTGTTTTGACTCTTTGGTTTTTCAAGACAGGGTTTCTCTGTATAACAGTACTGGCTGTCCTAGAACTAGCTCTGTAGACCAGGCTGGCCTCAAACTCAGAGATCCGCCTGCCTCTGCCTCTGGTGTGCTGGGATTACAGGTGTGCGCCACCATACCCCTCCTAGGACTTTCTTTTCAGGGCCTGTGTGATGGACAGATGTGGTATGAGTCACCTCCAGCACAGTGCTCACATCTACATTACTGGCTCAAATGTAGCCTGGCCTTCCTTGCTGTAGATTCCTGCGAAGGATCTAATGATTACACTGATCATGACAGTGATCACAATCTGTCTCTATGGAGACAGCCCCTGAATGACTAACAACTACGCATACAAGGCAATAGAATTAGTCTTTTACTTGATTTAAAGGGCATTTTAAATGTGCCAAATATCTTAATTAATAACTTAGTAATTATAATCAACTATCCTTAAACTTCACAAGAAATGCATGTTAAATCCTTAAAATTAGAGTTACATTTTCTGTTCTGGGCAGGCGAGTTTTCTTTTAAGGCACAGACTATCTGCCGTCATCTCTTACAGAAACCTCTCCAGAACAAACATCTAAAACCCCAACTGCTTTTCCAAGAGAATGGCCTATCTGTTCCCTCCTGTTAAACAGCTCTGGCTGGCCCAAAGGCACAGAGTCTCATTACAGTTGCTGACCTGCCCTAGTTCCTGAGGAGACCTTGCTCAAGGTCAGCTGAGAGGGCCCAAGGGGAGCCCCACCTGACTTTGCTAGGGGACCTGAGCTCTGAGTCATTCTCTTGGCAAAGAGCTGTTCTGGGAAGAGAAAAGCCAGTGGTGCCAGTGCGGTGCCGATGTGAAAGGAAGCTGAGTCACGGCAGGGGACACAGGGCTCTTTATGGAGGATCCAGAAAAATAAAGGTGTTTGTGGGGTTGGGGGGGGGGGGACTAGCATGACTTTCGAGTCAGGGGAATTTAATACCGAAGTGTGCAAGGGCTGTGTTCACTCCCGGTGACTTATCAAGCTTTTAGTAGGCACGATATGAAAGGATTACAATCTACCCCACAGAAGTTTTTAAAAAGTTAACTTTTCAAGGAAAAATTGACTTTATCAGTTACTCAAATACGACTAAGATAGCAAGAAACTAAACACAAAGGGGCCTTTAATCCTGTTTCCTGAAAGTGGCCTCAGGAGGGCCTCTCAGTAACTGGCACCCTCATCACTTTTAAAATGTCTTAGGTCGCATGTTCAGGGGTTCTCATGTTCTGAAATAATTAAACTAAAAAAAATGAAGAAAAGAGCTTAATAAGATCATTTTATATCCTATTATTTCATGACTTCACCCCCCCCCCCCCCACCGTTTTAGTTTCTACGAACAAGGAGTCATTTCAAATACCCAGTGAGCACTGTAAAACAATGTCATCCTAAACGCATCATTGAGAACAATGGAAAACACTAGTGCCATGGCTACCTATGTACCCGTTACGCTGCTAACCCACAGTGCATGTGCTCAGGCAGGAGCGAAGGTCAGTGATACAGAGGCACAATAAAGAATAGGTAGGTAAAAGTCAAGGGTAAGAGAAAACTTATGCTTCTTACATATCTTGCAGCACTTAAGAAAAAATAAGATAGTGTGCCATTTATGAGAAAACTGCAAATGGTTATGAAAAAGAACTCTAAGTAATTGTTACACACTGATCTGACCCAATCGGAATTGACCAGAGGCAGGGCTAAGATCTGGTGCCTATAGCCCAGCTGATATGCGATGTGCCACACAGTTGAATCTTGGTAACCATACAAACACAGAATTGAGCTGAGTCGCTCTGATAACGGGCTGCATAATGGCTTGGGCCGGGAAGGGAACTGACTGCTGCTACCCTGAGAAAGCAAGAATAGGCCAGGGCTGCGGTTTGATTGATCTGTGCCATCTATCTGGTCCTCTCGATCTCAGTGCCTGGGCTGGAATTCAGACTCTGTCTAGGCACTCCGGTTCTCAGGATGGCCTTCAGAGCTCCCACACCAGCTCCAAGGGTCCACTCCTCACCTCATGTCCCATCTCAGACAGTCCACTTCTCACTAAGGGACAAAGATGCTCACTTTATAGACTGTCTCCAAATCCAGGCAATAAATGGAGTCTTCTGAATACCTGGGAGGTTAGTGATGAGCACTATTGCACATAACAATTGTAATTATTAGCACATATGCAGGCAAGTGTGAGAAACCTGGGTGGTGGTATCTTGGTCCTGATGGGCTTATTTGTTTATTTAGTGACTGAGAGCAAAAATACCTGAAACCCCAGGCTCTTTGTCTTAATAGAACAGTGACACAGGTTTCAGAGACAATCAATATCTTCTACTTAGAAAGGATCAAAGCAAAGTCATACACTTACCGAAAAGGCAATGAGTATTTTATGGAATGCAGGCAGAAGCCAAAGAAAGCCTTCCTTGCTTAAAGTGCGCTCTGCAGCAGGAAATATCTGGAAAACACAGGAAGAGAGGGCTATTAGTGTTTTTTATTTGGCAATAATAAGGAGAATATTAAACATATTTAGCACCGTAAAATGGTAATCCATTAAAAATTCGAATATATATGTATATATATATATATATTGATTTTTTTGAGCTATACATTTTTCTCTGCTCCCCTCCCTTCCTTACCTCTCCCCTTCAACCCTCTCCCATGGTCCCCATGCTCCCAATTTACTCAGGAGATCTTCGACAATAGATATTTAAATACTAGACAGTAGACATGGAAGTAACACAAATGCATTATTTTTTTTTGTATTTTATTTATAAGGCACCTCTACACTTCAACTCCTGCTTTTATTTCGTTTTTAGAAGAGAATTTAACCACAAGAACAATCGTACAGAAAGTACCAGGCAAAGTGAAGTCAGAGAAATCGCAGAAACACAACCTCAGTGCTGGCTGGTGCTCACCATGCACAGAGCAGGAGACCCAGGCACATTCAGGGGAGAGTCTGGGTAAGAAGCCCTCAGCAGGCTGGATCAGAGACTTTCCCACTACAGCTAATTTCCTTGTTCATTTTCTCATTCATGTATTAACTCCTTCAGCAGGTCCTGACTGAACATTTTCTAGGAGTCAAGTGCTGTTCAAGGCTCTGGGGGTTTAAGACAAAAATCTGACCTGATGGAATTTACAACCCAAGGAGGAGTGACTGGGGAGGAAAAACAAAACAAAGAGCAGATAGGACCTCAGAAAGTCCTGCTGAGCTGTGGCCACTAACTAATCAAAGACCCTGGGGAAGCAGGTTCTCAGCAGAGGGGGAAAAAAAGCCAAGGAAGGCCCAGGGGCCACCCAGCCTTGCTGAGCCAGGAATCCAAAAGATCAAAGGGAGAGGGGACATGAGATGGCAGGTGAGTGACCAGTGTAAGCACTAAGTACTGGGCAGGGACAGGAAGCTGATGACAGGTAGAACCTTGGAGAATACCTACTGAGAAGGCAGGCTGGGAAGGAGCAATGAGACACACCAGGCCTAAGAAGAGAGGGGCTTGCCCAGGTCATCCTCCCAGAGCACTGCTGGCTGCCCAGGCCAGTGCTGACGAGGCTCGCAGACTGGAGGCCACAGGGAAGGTAAACATGATACCCACTTTCATGTAGAAATTTTACACATAGTAAGATAATACAAGTAGCAAAAATACTTGACCTCTAAAGTGACCCTCCCTTACCAATTCATCAAGACTTAAAGGACATCTAAAGTTAAAGCACATGGCATTTTCAGAAATTAATTTTTATGAGTGCTAGAGAGGCAGGTGCCGTAGTCACAGGCACAACAGAGTGCTACAGTCCATGACCAGGTTTTAGAGGCTGGTCTTTACTGTGTCTCTAGAGAATAAGAGACAAACTAAGAGTCTACTGGCATCCGAGAGCAGAGAGGGTAACTTTGTGGCACTGTGAACAAACCCCAAACTCATCCCTGAATGACTCAGAATACAGCAGTCATAACAGTGTCTTTGTGATGTTTCCTAGGTCATTTTCAGATTAGCGGATACACTCTTAAAAATTTCACGTCTACCGTGATACAGAGGCATTAACGATAACACTTTTTCCAGGCAGCAATCGCACGTAGATTCTGAGACTTCAAAGAGTAGTAAACGATAGTTTACATTTGTTAAGCGTCTAAAATAAGATACGGTGATGCTTCCAAATCCACAACTGACTACACACAGGAGGCTACACACATGCCTCCCTGGCATGGGCAGCAGATGTGCTCTACAGAGGAGGAAGCTGCATCTCTCCTGTCTCCAAGGCCCTCTTCCCTTCCTCCCAGGGACCTGGCCGGCCACACTGGCATCACCAGACCGAGCACAGGTCTGCTCCTGCGCTCCTGCTCATAGGTATATAGGTTCTGCTCCTCAGAAAACACTTCTTGCAGCAGGGGACGAGGGTTTTCATCTTCTCAAAAACAGCTAACAGGGCCAAGCTCATGGTAAATGCCTTTTACTGCAGAGTAAAATAACGAAAGAAGAATAAATCTATTCGGAGTCTTATCAGATCCAGGCAGCTTCAAAAGGGTGAACCCTGAAATAGTCATCAACCGCCAAAGGCATCTCTCCTGCTCTTTTGGACTCACAGGGACCCGAGTGGGCAGTCACAAGCCACTGACAGTCCTGCCCTGGAACCCGGCATCCAGCAGCCTGCACTTCCCATTGCTCTTCTCATTGACCGTTAGTTTTTCAGAACTTGCTCAGCCCTGCTGTCTTGTGTTATCTATGCTTTCTGCGTCCCAAGCTAGCTCCCTCACCTGTCACTGTAAGCCTCCAGAAAGAAAAAGAGAAAGTATCAAATATGGGAACTGTTTTATCTGTCTTTGGTTTTGAGAAACTAGGAATTGGACCCAGGGCCTCTCTCATAAACTCGACCAAGTGAGCTACGCCTCAGCGTTCTAAAAATGCTTTAATCCTTAAAACACTGTATTTCATGCTCACATTGACTGACATTGATTGGTCAGAATTATTACTTTCCTTTCAAGAGCTAGAGAATTCGATGGAGACTGAACAAACTTTTAATGTGTCCCCCCCCAAAAAAAAAATCCCTTTTCATTTTCTTTCTCAGGGATAGATTCTCTCTAATGTATTAAGAACAAAAAAAGGACAAAACAGAAGGTAAAAGTGCATGTTGTGTTACTGCAAAAACATGAAATTCTTTCCGTCCTGCTATTAAAAATATCTCCTAGTTCAGGTTAACTGGCATCATTGGCCATCAGCAGGCAACAATCAATGTTTACACATTTACACTTAAGGATTTAAGAAATTCCTTAAGATATGGTGATTCTTGAAGAGCCAGGCTCAGTGCCACTCCCCCAGAACAGACCACACTACTCCCTCGCTTTTCAGGTAATGCAGGACTGGGTGTGGCTCACAGGAGGCACTCCGCAGTTTACAGCGGACAGAGCTTCAGCAGTAAACAAGGGGAAGACATCCACAATCTATTTTTAAGGCGGCCTCCTCAGAAAGGTAGCGAGTATTCCAGGAGACTAGGAGGGAAGGGGGTGGGCACAGCTTAGAGATAGACCCTTGCCTAGCATGTGCTAGGCCTTGGGTTCGATCCCAACCCTGCATATCTAAATGAAGCAATTACAGAACTGTATCAATTTATTCCTCCTTAGATGAGTGTCCAAACCTAAGTTTTTTTTTTGTTTTTTTTTCTATACTACATTTTTTTTAAATTTATTTATTTATTTATTAAAGATTTCTGTCTCTTCCCCGCCACCGCTGAGGACTATATTACATTTTTTTAAATTTATTTATTTATTAAAGATGTCTGTCTCTTCCCCACCACCGCCTCCTATTTCCCTCCCCCTCCCATAGTTAAGTCCCCCCCCCCCTCCTCAGCCAGAAAAGCAATCAGGGTTCCCTGTCCTGTGGGAAGTCCAAGGAAGCCCCACCTCCATCCAGGTCTAGTAAGTTGAGCATCCAAACTGCCTAGGCTCCCACAAAGCCAGTGCGTGCAGTAGGATCAGAAACCCATTGCCATTGTTCTTGAGTTCTCAGTAGTCCTCATTGTCCACTATGTTCAGAGAGTCCGGTTTTATCCCAGGCTTTTCCAGACCCAGGCCAGCTGGTCTTGGTGAGTTCCCAGTAGAACATCCCCATTGTCTCAGTGTGTGGGTGCACCCCTTGCTGTCCTGAGTTCCTTGCTCATGCTCTCTCTCCTTCTGCTCCTGATTTGGACCTTGAGATTTCTGTCCAGTGCTCCAATGTGGGTCTCTGTCTCTGTCTCCTTTCATCGCTTGCTGAAAGTTAATATTCAGGAGGATGCCTATATGTTTTTCTTTGGGTTCTCCTTATTTAGCTTCTCTAGCATCACTAATTATAGGCTCAATGTCCTTGGTTTATGGCTAGAAACCAAATATGAGTGAGTACATCCCATGTTCCTCTTTTTGGGTCTGGCTTACCTCACTCAGGCAGAAAGATTCTGTCTATGTCTGCAATAGGGGGAATGTCAGGCCAAAAATGATGAAGAGACAGAAGGGGTACCTGGACTTTTGAGAAAAAAAACAAACCATCCTGACTGACACTGCCCCCCCTGAAGTGGCCAGGAGTGAACCAGGGTGGGCGCTGTCCACATGAAATTGATGGGGTTTGCACAGGGGTGTCACATGAAGTAGAATGGCTGTGTGTTCCTTTCACCATGCAGGGTGTCTCAAAGCTGAAAACATTGCCCCACCGCCTCAGGGCACAGAGACTGTAGGTATATCACTACTCAAAGGTTCTCAGCCTTCAACATTGCATTACCACCCACTGAACTTCCACAGGGCTCCTGCGTTCCTCTCAGAACTGTTAGTTGAGTGAATGCTGACACTGGATAATTTTTCTCTCCCAGGCAGACCTGGGAGTGAGGGCTTGGGCTGAGGCAGAGTTAGGGGGCTGCTAAAGATTCCATGCCGACCTGCTGGAAGCAGGACACAGATCTGGAGGACGGCAGTTATGGTACAGACTATATAAACTGCAGCCTCGGCTTTTCAGGAGCAGGAGACAGTCCCGGACAGTTTTCAGAATCTGCCTGTCTATCTGCTGATAGCAGACGCATGGTGGCCGCCAGCCAGCCCTGTGACTGGTGACTCAGGACACAAGTTTCTGTACAGTCTGCAGTCCGATAGGGAAGGACATCAGGTTTCAAGTTAAAGGACTCAAACGGAAGCAAGGGTTCTGAACCCATGACAGGGCCGGCTGGTTTTGAGGATTTTGGACCCTTGTTCTTGCTAACTCTTTTTTCCTTTATAGTAGGTTACCTTTATCACAGAATTTAAGATTCTTTATTGCCTTGTCTGGAAAATAAACCAGGTAGTCCCGAAGTGAAGCAAAAACGTTGAGCAGCGGTCAGAGTGGTAGGACCCCATCTCTCTCCTGTGAGGCTTCAAACGCAAGAGTGGCATCCTTTAAACAAAGCCTGGGTCAAACACTTCCTCAGGCGTGGCTGGGAAACACCTGCGTTGTCTATTTCGCACAAGCTGTT